TTGGTAATCTACCGAGCCTCGATTTTGAGAACCTTGAGCACTCAAGTCATTTGTCATCGGCCGAATTCATTCACAAATCTCTAGGCCATGTCAGCTATCACAGACTGAGGAAGAAACTTGGAATACCTCTCAAGATAATAAGCAACTGCGAGTCCTGTGCCGTTGCCAAAATCACCAAGGCGTCATTCAAATCAGTCCACAAACCGGCTTCTAAGCCATTTGAAGAACTCCACCTTGATCTCATAGGTCCTATATGGCCCCCATCTCATGAGGGGCACAAATACATCCTAACTGTTGTCGATAGCTGTACAAGGTTCTGCGCCGCGATTCCGATTAAACTTAAGAGTGACGTAACAGAGACTCTTTCATTCCTGATGGACATTGAAGCCAAGCGATTCGGTTATTATCCGTCAACTCTACACTCTGATAGAGGATCGGAATTCATGAACTCCTGTTTGAGTGACTTCTGCACCTCTCACCTCATCAAACAACGGACATCAGACGCGTATACTCCCCAACAAAATGGGCTAGCCGAACGGTTCAACAGGACAATACTAGAGTCTATGAGAACTATACTTGAAGATTCTGGTATTGAACGGAAATACTGGAATGAAATAGCCAAAGTCAGCTCTCTGACTCTCAATCAGATTCCCTCTCACCGATCAAAAAAGGCTCCGTTTGAACTTTTTAAGAATCGATCACTTCCTATCAGCTACTTCCATCCTCTTGGAAATCGAGTATCATTTCTCATTCAACCTGAACAATCATTCGCCAAGCTGAAACCTAAAGGAAAACTTGGAAGACTTATTGGGTACAATGACGAAATAAGGTCTTACCGCATACTATCAGATGAAGGAAAAATTGTTGACACAAAGAATGTACAGTTTCTTGAGTACTCTCCTCCTCCAATCAAAACTTCAGATTGGGATCTCTCCTTTGAACCTACTCCTATACCAGCTGAAAGTGACTGTGAGGAGAATGAAGAAGTAAGGGAGGAGATAGACACTTCTGACGAAAGTGAAGAAGAAATAGCCGCAAGTCTGAATCCCGAACCAAGCACCGGCAGAATCCTGCGAGAGCGGACGTCTCAGATCAAACCTGTCAAATATTCGTATCTCTCGACCGATCCGTCTTCTTTCAAAAATGCCTTGAAATCTCTGGAAAAAGAAAAGTGGCTCAAGGCTGCTGAAGAAGAACTATCTAATATTGAACATCATCAAGTATGGGAAGACATGTTTGATACCCCTGACTCATTCTTACGGACTCTGTGGATTTTCAAGACTAAACCGGCCACTCTCTCAGCTGAAGAACGAAAGAAAGCTCGACTCTGTATTCAAGGATTTCTTCAAGTTGAAGGAGAAGATTACGGAAACACCTTTGCTCCCACTGGGAAGTTCACCACTCTCTTAATTGTACTTATGTTTGCAATTGACAAAAAACTTCCGATCAGACAATTTGACGTAAAAAGTGCATTTCTCTATGCCCCTCTCAAAGAAGAACTTTACATTAAAACTCCGGAAGGATCATCTCGAAAAGCTCCCTTTCTCAGACTGAAGAAATCCCTATACGGTTTGAAGCAAGCTCCAGCCAATTGGTACAAAACTCTTACCTCTTGGTTTCAACAAATCAATTATCATCAGTCAACCTCAGACCCGTGCCTCTTCATTCATCAAGACAAGAACTCCTTCATATTCTTCCACGTGGATGACTTGGTGGTAGTAGGAAACGTTGATGCTTTCGAAGAATTATTCCTACTCAGATTTCCTAACTCTACAGCTCATGACCCCGACACGCTCCTTGGAATGGATGTTGAAAAGTCAAACACCACCATTAGTCTCTCTCAAGAAAAACTGATAATCAAGGGATTGGAAATGCTGGGGTTGACAGATTGTAAGCCGGTCAACACTCCTCTGTCAGTAGCCGTACAACTTAAGCCAGCCACTGAGCAAGAGAAGTCGGACTTCAACAAACTCAACATCAACTACCGAACTTACACGGGAATCCTAAATTATCTATCATGCCGGACACGTCCAGATCTAGCACCCGCTGTGTCCATTCTCTCTAGCTTCAACAATGAGCCGGGGATAACTCACTGGAAGGAGGTCATTCATTGTTGGAAATATGTGAAGGGTACTCAACACTTGCATCTCACTCTTCGTCCATCTCCTGATGACTCCAAATCTATTCAACACTACACGGATGCCACTTGGGCTGATGATCTCGAAACTCGCCTTTCACGAAGTGGGTCAATTTGCTTCTGGAAACAATGTCCCATAGCTTGGAATAGCAAACGGCAACGAAACATTGCTCTATCGTCAACTGAAGCCGAACTGAATGCTCTGTCAGATGGGGTTCAAGAAAACCAATGGATCAAATTCTTGGTAGAGGAACTGTGGAATGAAACTTTGGATCCTTCAACTTTTCACATCGACAATCAGGGCTTGGCCGAAAAAATTAAAAACTTTGG